TACAAATTTATGACTATGTAATGTTCTTATTTGTGTCATCTAAAAAATCTTTTTTTTTTTTTAATTTTGTCAAATACTAATAACAAATTAACAACATTTGGGCTGAAAATAAATTCAAAAAATTTCTAACAGTATCTTTAAGGTTTGAATAACTTGACAAATTCAAGAATGTGATTGCAATTACTTGGATCCTAATTGATGCTTGTATTTCATTAGAGCTTTTCGAAATAAACTAAGAATTATAGCATGATTCAATTATTTGGGTCTTTCTTAAATCAAATGTAACAATGTAATTGATAAGAAACTCCACTATTGCCTGACTTTAATCGTTTAATCTTTTGTACTCATAATTGTTTTTTCTTTTTAGAGAAATTTATTTGTGTTAATTATTTCTATTGGGCTTTAGGCAAATTTTGCTATACTCAAATGTAATAGCTATGACACTTGTTTTATATAAACTTAAAATATAGCTCACCATTTGTCAACCAACTTAAGATTGTGAGGGGACTTAACTCTTGTACTTGATGTTTTATCATGTTAGTTATTGATCATTTTATTTCAATTATATTCACCTGAATTTCATATTAACTTTCTCCTGGATATATGATTCTTAATTAGGTCCATTCTTACTTCATGGGTTTCATTTTTTGAACTGTTCCAATGATTGTTTGAACTACTTTTGATGTGTATTAATAACCTTATCAGTAGTAATTTGTGTCTCCTATAGATTGTCAAATTGTTGCAAGCTAAAAAATTTGCATCAATAAAGTGTTTTCCAGATTAAATTTTAAAGATATTGTACACATATAGATAAAAATAAGGAATATATGTTATACCAAAATTTTTACAAGAAATATCCTAAAAGGAAAAATCTTGAGGCATGACCCAAATGAAATGATTCACTATATTGATGGAAATTACAAAGGTCTTCTCTTCCCCTGAAGGTCGATCTCTTGTGATTGTAACTAAGAATATTTGAGAAATATTGAAAGGAGATGAAAATGATCATATGATGTCGGTTGGTGTTGCAGTAAAGCAATAATGGTCAGATTGTGACAATCATATGATGGTAGTTGGATGTTAATGGTTCAATGACAGTGGATGTGTAACAACTATTAGTTGAATGTGGTTGAACGAAGTGGGTGTTTGTCAAGATTGCTAGTGTCAAACATCAAGTAATGCTCTATAGTTCATTTATTCTCCATTAAAAAAAAAAAAATTATTCCAACAGCATAAAAAGTACAACCAACTAGGAAAAAGAAACAAAAATAGTTATAGAGGATTAAAAGGTTATCAACCCGTCGGGCTCAGTAGTTGGCAGAGGCTTCCAACTCCCCTCAAAACTAGGCACGGGCCATCCAATATGGAGTGATAGCAGTAATGAACGAAATAGTGACGAACAAAAGACCCACCACTAAAGGTTGCCACGAGCCTAAGCTTATAGTAAATGAGCTCTATCCACATCATTGCCCATAAACAAACATTCGCCTCGGAAAATCTCAAACGTAGCTCCAGCAAACCAGCAACCAACAAACGAATCCAACCAAAGAAGCGACAGCCAAAACCCGAAGGAGTAGACCGACCAAAAGCCCAAATTAGCAACACCAAAACCCCAAATCATTTCCTACCACGCCTACCCCTCCCACGAGAGGAGACAGACACAACAAGCCTGTCTTTAAGCCTAACCAAATCAACCTCAGGAACTTCCTCCCCGCTATCCTCAGAAGATGAATCAGACGAACAATGCAACCAATCTAATTGCAATCTCACTCTCTCACCTGAGTTAGCAACCACCTGAGAGAATAAAGCCTCAGATGAAATAAATTTGACAGGAACCTCAACAAAAGGGCCAGGAACCAGGTCAGTTGGCATCACAGGTTAACAACAGAATCAACAGCCTTCACAGTCGATGCCAGATTAATAGAGGATGTAATAGTAACATGACTCACGAGAGCTAACAGAGGCAAATCCATGGTGCGAGTAGGAGAAACATGAGAGACAGAGGGCACAAAATCACTCGTGCCAGACCTACCTGCATATGAAATAGCAAGTTTCAAATTAAGGACACATTTCACAGCACCCGGCTCACTCAAGCACAAACGAGGGAACTGAACAGTGGGGGCCTCTCCCTCCAAACCCTCAACAAATTCCAACTGGGCTAAATTAACTAGACTAGCCTACTCACACTCCACACCTTTATCTCAACTGGAATGGAGAAATAAAATCAGCAGAGACAAAAGGAGGGACACCCATGGCAGGCGTAACACCATTCTCTATAGGATCATGAATTAAAGCCACATTAGTAGGCACAGGCAATTCAATCCTACCTGGCGTAGAAACAACAACCTGGGCAACAGTGGCCACCCCCTCCAAACCCGCCACAAAAATAGTTGGCTCAATCCCACGAATAGCCACCTCTGTCGAAATAGAAGGATTAAGCACAGCAGCATATTTAAGATTAGGATGAAGAAATGTACACCCAGCCTTAGAATGACCTAAAGCAAGACAATGCGTACAATAATATGAAAAATCTTCAAAAACCACATATTGAACATAACCAGTGTTATCCGGTCCGATCCAAATTTTGTCCAGGTACTATTTGGATACATTCAGTTCAACTAAAATGTGATCTACAGGCGGACGAGAACCAAAAGATGTTGCATTGTTCTTTTTCAAGGGTTTGCCAAAAATCAGACCTAATCCATGAAGAATACGTGGGGCGAACAGATGAGGCCGGAGGTTAGGGAAGGATATCCAGATGGAGATAACAAATGATTCAATCTCAATATCCAAAGTAGGTGACCATTTAATCAATTTTATATAGCAAATACTCACAAAATATGATCTATGAGCAAAAACCCTACATTAATCTAAGTCGTTAAACAACTTAATCAAAACATTTCGCTGGTTCAAAATAGTGATGGAAACCTCTCCATTAAGCCTAAGCTTAAAAAAGAAACTTCTAATTGGTTCAAGGGATGGCCTACGGCCAGGAAATTTTCCAACCAGGGCAAATTCGAACAAAGCAGTCAGCGACATGATTTCCGCCTCGGAAATCCATAGCACCGACAAACCCTTATGAGAACAGACCTTAAGTTCAAAAAAAAATGCAAGTGGAAGGAGAAGAACCAAAAAGCACATCCTTGAAGGAAAGAGAAGAAGATCCAACCAAAAAATCAGGATCACGAAAACGTCGAGGTGCCAAAAACACGCCTCCACCAATATATATATATATATATTCCTTTTATCTTTTAAATGTTTTAATGATATCAAAATTTAGCAATCTTGGGTTTATTAGATTTTTCTTGTTTATACACTTGTTTTGACTATAAGCACCAAAAAATTAGAGATCTTTTGATTCTTCAATTAACTTCATGAAGTTTCTAACTATACTTTAAGTGTTTAATTTAGGCTCATTTTGATTCAGATTGTATCTCTTTTGGTGTCATTTAGTTTATCTTATCAAGATGTCTAATTTGACCATAAAATTGCTAAATTAGAGTTTAAATGGTCTTTATGTTAATACTAAAAGTTTCTTGCTTCAACATTCAAAGCCTGATTGATAAGTTTTTTTATGACGCATCAAGGTTATTAAAAATATTAAAGAGTCTTATTTAATTGATCGTAAATCTTATATAAAATTTTGATGATAGAATACCTAACACTTTTTATCTAACACCTAAATAACATTAAAAAATGATGGAATAAATTAATTTAAATATTTTAATAAGAAGAAGAATACATGATATATAAGTTTTTCTAATTAATTCCTAAATAGATATAGGGGAGTTTATATACATACCAAAATAGTTTTGGGATTTTTACATACATAACACCTAAAACTATTGAAAATACATATTTAACATCTAAACTTCTATATTTACTGATATTTGTAGAGGACGAAGCCCCTGCCATAACTTCGAATCCCTAACAGGGCCAACCAACAAGGATAAACACCAGCACAGGGAAAGTAAGTAGAACACAAGATTTCGCTAGCGGAGAGGACTTGGAGGCGAAAAGATCACAGGAGGAGGAAGGAAACCCTAAAATCGCCCGAGACGGCGCTTAGGGCGACTTTTTTACTGCTTCTTAAAGCAATTTTTTTAATAAAAATTAATTTTTTTGTACCTAAAATCTGCTTTAAAGATTAGAAAGAAAGCCATTCCAAATGAAACCTTAATCACATATCTTGTATAAGAAGTTACAAACCTAAATTTAAGAATCATTTTAAGATTTTAAATGACAAAATAATCCCATTTGATACATACGAGATTAAAAAAAAAATACTATTTAATAATTATTTAAGATATTGGATGTTGTATATCGTAACTTTAAAATACTTTTATTTTATTAATGTATTCTTATGATAATTTTTAGAATTATTTCAAAATATGAAAAATAAATAAATTCATATATATATGTTATTTTTGATAAGATGATAAAAAAGTACAAATGTTTCTTAACTACTTAAAAACTAATTAATTTAAAATCATCACCTTAATTTAATAAAAAAATTGGTGAAGATCAATTAGAAATGGAGCTCTATTATTATTTTGTAACTTTTAATAGAATTGTCACTCTTTTTGCGATTTAATAATATATATTTAATAGAGTACAAATATATAGAAATAAAATAGAAGATCATAATCATAAAGAACAATCCACATACCGAAGCATAGAGCATGATTGTGGACGCCTATATAGTTTACTAGAATCAAAGTCTCAATAATAATAATAAAAAAAACTAGAAGAGATCTAGATTAAAAAATTACTATGGCAAACATAAAATCTTTAGGATAAAAAGTTTTTGAATTGAAATTATAAAATGGCAATTACCATAACACAATATCCAAACTTTTAAGCTTCAAGCACAAGATGTTAAGGTTACTTTCCCATTTTTTAGGACATTTGAGCCATTAAGGTAAACTCACACACACATTATATATATAAATTACGAACCCAAGACCTCTTAATTAGTAGCCAAAGTCCCAAACCAGTATTTAATCATGCTCTTCGTTATTATCATCATTATCATCATCAACATCATCATTATCATCGTCATCATTGTCATTGGATGAAAAAGAATCAGAAAAATCTAAAAAAGGATCTATGTAAGATTTGAGTGCATAGAACTTTGAGCCAACATCACCCATAAGCTTCACGTACTGGCACCCATTTAGGTTGAGAAAAGATAATGCTTTGCAGTTGCTAAGAATAGCATCTAACCCATAGTCACTAAAGCGACCATAGGATAACTCGAGTTGCTCAAGCCCGAACATCGTATTGGCTATAGCTAATGCTTCTTTTTCATTAACTTTAGTTGCCGCTTCATTATTTTGGGTTGATTCGAACTCAGCAGGAGTCAGGTTTCTCTTCAGGCTTATAAGAGACGTGCAATTATTTCCCAATATTTTGATTCCTTTGTAGGTGATGTAGTCGCAGTAGCTGATGTCTAAAGTTGTTAGAGATGTTAGGGATCCAGAATATTTCTGTATTGCTGAATCATTTACCTCGCTCATTGGAATTTCTAGCACGTTAAGGTTAATTCCACTGCACATACACAAAAAGTAAATGTCATAAGCCTAAGAAAGATTTTTAAAAAATAACATAGCACCTAAAATTTAATCATTTACAAAATATCATGATGAAAAACTGCTAATATATATAAATAATTTTCAAAATAGACTTAAAATCAAATCAATAATTTTTATTATTGGATGTTGCAATACCATCTTCACTTTTTTTTTTCAAGTTATAAAAGTATATTACAAAGAGGCTGTGAGCGAGAATCCCCCATTTTGGATGCGATATGCAGAAAGTCGCCGGAGCGTGTAACGGCTTCGACATACAAGCTTTCGCACAACGGCGTTGATGACATCGGGATGGTTAACACGCCGGCACCATTCTTCAATGTTAATCTCTGTCCAGCAACATGGCCCCGCCACTGCCTCCTGCCAACTTTTGCAAACGAAAGATATTGTGCGTGCCATCTCATCTGATGGGATCTTCTTGAAGATGAGTGCCAATATATCGTGGTTTATCCTTTCCCAATCCCTCCAATTGTCATCATTGATCCCACGTCTCGACATTTTTTTTAAAACCTAGAATTGCATAAACTTTATTGATACAATAGTGCTTATATATAGAATATATAATAGAGCAATAAGAAAATGTGATAAAATAAAATTTTGTTAATAATGAAGATATATTGTAATAATATTGGTTATAAATTCTTACAATAAATATTATACTTATGCTCTCATATAAATATATGATAGTGAATAAATCTAATAATTCTAATATCTCTCTACAAATCAATAAGGCAGCTATTAAAAGCATTGAAAGTTTGCCTATCAAAAAATAAAAATGGGAAAATGGGTGGTACTTTGTTTATGTTATGTAGAGAAGAAGAAACAATGATGAATTAAGAATGTCATATTGAAGGTGACGACGAGTGATGATAAATTGATAATAAATATCATACTATTTAGTTCTAATAGCAAGATCTGCATAGAGATGAAGTTAGTCCCTCATTGTGTAATTTGAAAATGATAAGAGAACTCTGTAACTAGATAAGTCTAGAATGTATCCAGCTATAGTGCAATGAAAAACAGTGATCTAAACATGTTCTCAAATACCTCTTCTTAACAATTCTATGTGGTATCAGAGCGGCGTTAGATCATTTCTCATTCAAAATGTCTACCCCACTCAGACAAGAGAAAAGTCATCAAATACAACTTCAGAATACGTCAAAATTCCTGCCTCACTCAAGTTTTGTATGGCTAACATTAAACAATCGTACCGACACAATTATCCATTGAGAACTACAATATTTGGAGATCTCAGGTACTCAAATTACTCACCACAAATGGGTTTGCTGATTTTCTTGAAATAAAAACATCTCCCCCTCCCCGCTTATCAAAACAATATGATGGGATAAGCATCACAAATTCGAAATACGATGAATGGATGCTAATCGGTCAGAACTTATCTGTTGCTATATGCTCAACTCTATCACCAGCAGTTCTTTCATATGAAACAAATCTGAATTCATGAGCTGAAATCTGGGTAACAATCGAAAGAAGGTTGCAGGCATCAAACATATCAAAAGTAATACAACTCAAAAAAGAGTTGCACAATAAGAAAATGAAAAATATTACCATGTTTCAGTATCTGAATGAAATTAAGACACTTGTGGATCAAATAGAAGTAGCGAATGCAACTATTGATACAAAAGATATTATTATGTATACTCTGAATGGTCTTCCACCTACATACCAGACATTTAAAACAGCTATTATAACAAAGCTACATCCAGTTAGCTTGGAAGACTTATATTCACTTCTGATAAGTGAAGAAATAAATATAAATTCTGAAGCACTAAAGCAGATAAATATATCTGACTCAAATACAACACTATATACAACCAGAGGAAGAGGTCGTAGAGGAAGGGGATGTTTCTTCGTCTCAGAATAACAGGACTTCTGCAAAAAGTCAAGTGATATGTCAGATTTGTAACAAAGAGGGCATTTAGCTTCAGTATGCTGGCATAGATCGAACTTGAATTATACTCCAGCAGATTCATCTGCATAAAATAGCCAACAATCAAAAGCATTAATAACAACAAATGAATTTCAAAATCCTGATTGGTATTTGGATTCTGGTGCATCAGCTCATCTCACACATAGTCTTGACAATGTAATGCAACCAACAACATACAATGACACTGACAGCATAACCATTGGTGATGGAAGAAATCTCCCCATAGATCATTCAGGGAAAGGTATTCTACCAACTCCTAATAGTAAACTTCAACACTAATAACAGTATCTTTAAGGTTTGAATAACTTGGCAAATTCAAGAATGTGATTGTAATTACCAACAGGATCCTAATTGGTGCTTGTATTTCATTAGGGCTTTTCAAAATAAACTAAGCATTACAGCATGATTCAATTATTTGGGTCTTACTTAAATCAAATGTAACAATGTAATTGATAAGAAACTCCACTATTGTCTGACTTTAATCTTTTAAACTTTGGTACTCATAATTGTTTTTTCATTTTAGAGAAATGCATTTGTGTTGATTATTTCTATTGGGCTTTAGGAAAATTTTGCTTAACTCAAATGTAATAGCTATGCCATTGTTTTATATAAACTTAAAATATAGCTCACCATTTGTCAACCAACTTAGATTGTAAGGGGAGTTAATTCTTGTAGTTTATGTTTTATCATGTTAGTTATTGCTCATTTTATTTCAATTATATTCACCTGAATTTCATATTAATTTTCTCCTGTATATATGATTCTTAATTAGGTTAATTTCTTACTTCATGGGCATCATTTTTTGAATTATTCCAATGATTGTTTGAACTACTTTTGATGTGTATTAATAACCTTATCAGTAGTAATTTGTGTCTCCTATAGATCGTTAGATTGTTGCAAGCTAAAAAATTTGCATCAATAAAGAGTTTTTCAGATTAACTTCTAAAGATATTGTACACATATAGATAAAAATAAAGAATATATGTTATACCCAAATTTTTACAAGAAAGATCCTAAAAGGAAAAAATCTTGAGGCATGGCCCAAATGAAATGATTCACAATATTGATGAAAATTACAAAGGTCTTCTCTTCCTCTGAAGCTCGATCTCTTATGATTATAGCTAAGAATGTTTGAGAAATATTGTAAGGAGATGACAACGATCATATGATGTCGGTTGGGTGTTGCAGTAAAACAATAATGATCAAATTGTGGCAATCATATGATGGTAGTTGGATGACGGTGGATGAATAACAACTATCAAACTTCATCTATCGAATGTGGTTGGACGAAGGTGGGTGTTCGTGATGATGGCCTTCGTCTAACATCAAGCAAAGCTCTATAGTTCATTAATTCTTCTTTCTATATCTAATTTTAAAATTAGGTCTCCCTTATATGAAAAACGATGGCCAATTTATAATTTGTTAAAGTGAAATGTTAGTAAATTTAACTAAAATCCAAAAAATATTTATCGGACAACATATAATAATTTTTTTGTTCGTAGATTACTCTTTCTTCATTTAAGTGTTTTAATGATCTCAAAATTTAGCAATCTCAGGTTTATTAGATTTTTCTTATCGATACACTTGTTTTGACTATAAGCACATAAAAATTAGAGATCTTGATTCTTCAATTAACTTCATGAAGTTTCTAACTATACTTTTAAATGTTTAATTTAAGCTCATTTGGACTCGGATTATATCTCTTTTGGTGTCACCTAGTTCATCTTATCAAGATGTCCAATTTGACTATAAGCTTGCTAAAATAGAGTTTATATGATTTTTATGTTAATACTAAAAGTTTCTTCCATCAACATTCAAAGCTAGATTGATAGATTTTTTTATGATACATCAAGGTTATTAAAACTATTAAAGAGTCTCATTTAATTGATCGTGAATCTTATATAAGATTTTGATGATAGTATACACTAACACTTTTTTATTTAACACCTAAATAACATTTAATAATGATGGAAAATATTAATTTAAATATTTTAATAATAAGAAGAATACATGATAAAAAAGTTTTTCTAATTAATTCCTAAATAGATTTTGGGAAGTTTATATACATATAAAATTATTTTTATGTATTTATTTAGCTAACACTTAAACCTTTATATTCATTTCTATAACACTAAAATTTCTTAATCACATAAAAAAACTAATATTAAGTTAGTCAAAGTAAAATACACAATTTCATGCACTTAAAAGTATTTTTTTTTTGGGGAAACTCACACAAAGGGCCTATGTGTTCCATAACAAAGTACATGTCCTTAGAGGATCAACAACTCTCTAAAAATACAGCCTTTGAAGTAAAACCTATGAGCTAATGATCCAACTAAATACAATAAGCAAATAAGAAAATAAAAGAAAGCCAACAAGACAGATAAAAAACTAAAACCAGAGAAGCCAACAACATCAGTTTCCCAACAATAGAAGGTTCTACAACACCAAGAAAGTACATGCAAAAATACAGAGAAAAGGGGCAAGCAAAACAGGGCAACCAAGAACCACAACTAAAAAACACACAATAACAGCCTAGAAGAGCCTCAGCCACAAGGCCTAACACCCACACAATAAAAATTCCAGGAATCAAACACCAACAACAAAGGGACATCCACCAGGGTGCGAAGCCACACCCCCAAAAGCCCCAGCCACACGACACGCACCACAATAAAACCATCATCCCAACCACCAAACACACCCAAAGCATAAAAGCCAAGCACAAAACAACCAAAGGAACCATTATTTTTTAGATTTGCGTATACGATGCTTACCAACACGAGAGAAAGAGTTAACAACAACATGACTCACATCCATCCCATATAGCTCATGAAATGACTCAGCATTCTCAACCCCCAAGTCATCCTCATGCCCATAAGGAGAAACTGGAGACTCGTCAAGCCAATAAGATTGCAACAAATAAGTGGCCCCCAAAGAAGATATCAACTAAGCATTTAGAGCATTAGGCGAAATCAGATCAATAGGGACATCAATAAGAGGTTCACTACTAGTAGTCCCCATATGAGAAGGCAACTGAACCCGATCAACATTATCCCAAGGATAATCAACGGAATCACCAGACAATTTATTTACCACCATCAAGTTAGCTTGACTAAGATCCTCATGCACCTCACGCTCATTAACCATATCAGCCTGATCAGCCAAGATAATAGTACAATCCCCCACTCCATAAATACCAGCCCTTTCCACACCCGGAGATAACTCTAGATTGCTCACATGACTATCCACATTAGGACAAACAACACCATCAAAGGTATGAATAATATTTTCACAATAATCGTGAGCCAAAACAGACACAATCTCTTACCCAACAACATTAGGCAATTGTGAATCATCAGCAACAACATCTAAACATTAGAATTCAAAACATGAGGAATCACCCCATCGATGATATGATTAGTAATAAAAAAAAGACCTTGCGAAGAAGAATTTTTGGTCGCAACCCCCTCATTATTAGTAGGATCATTAGCTAAATAAGGATATAAAATCAGGCATTCACCTTTCGAGTTATAGTAGAAAAAACAAG